CCTCTCTTCCTCTCTCCTTCTCTTCCTCTCTTCCTCTCTCCTTCTCTCCCTCTCTTCCTCTCTTCCTCTCTTCCTCTCTTCCTCTCTCCTTCTCTCCTCTCTTCCTCTCTCCCTCTCTTCCTCTCTTCCTCTCTTCCTCTCTTCCTCTCTTCCTCCTCTTCCTCTCTTCCTTCACTCACTGTTTCAGAGTTCATCCCTCTTTACCCCCCTTGGCTCTTTTCACTGCTTCTTTTGTTCTCCTCTCCTACCTCCTAGCTCCTTCCTCCTAGCTCCTTCCTCCTAGCTCCTACCTCCTATCTCCTTCCTCCTAGCTTCTACCTCCTATCTCCTTCCTCCTAGCTCCTTCCTCCTAGCTCCTAGCTCCTTCCTCCTATCTCCTTCCTCCTAGCTCCTTCCTCCTACCTCCTATCTCCTTCCTCCTAGCTCCTACCTCCTATCTCCTTCCTCATAGCTCCTTCCTCCTAGCTTCTACCTCCTAGCTTCTACCTCCTATCTCCTTCCTCCTATCTCCTTCCTCCTAGCTCCTTCCTCCTAGCTCCTTCCTCCTAGCTCCTTCCTCCTAGCTCCTTCCTCGTAGCTCCTTTTTCCTTCATCCTAGCTCCTTCCTCCTAGCTCCTACCTCCTCTCTCCTAACTCCTTCCTCCTTCTTCCTAGCTCCTAGCTCCTTCCTGCTACCACCTAGCTCTTTCCTCCTTCCTCCTAACTCCTAACTCCTTCCTCCTACCTCCTTTCTCCTACCTCCTCCCTCCTCTCTCCTAACTCCTTCCTCCTACCTCCTTCCTCCTAACTCCTAGCTCCTACCTCCTTCCTCCTAACTCCTTCCTCCTATCTCCTACCTCCTAGCTCCTTTTTCCTACCTCCTAACTCCTAGCTCCTTCCACCTACCTCCTTTCTCCTACCTCCTCCCTCCTCTCTCCTAACTCCTTCCTCCTACCTTCTTCCTCCTAGCTCCTACCTCCTAGCTCCTTCCTCCTAGCTCCTTTTTCCTTCATCCTAGCTCCTTCCTCCTAGCTCCTACCTCCTCTCTCCTAACTCCTTCCTCCTACCTCCTTCTTCCTAGCTCCTAGCTCCTTCCTGCTACCACCTAGCTCTTTCCTCCTTCCTCCTACCTCCTAACTCCTAGCTCCTTCCACCTACCTCCTTTCTCCTACCTCCTCCCTCCTCTCTCCTAACTCCTTCCTCCTACCTCCTAACTCCTAGCTCCTAGCTCCTTCCTCCTACCTCCTTTCTCCTACCTCCTCCCTCCTCTCTCCTAACTCCTTCCTCCTACCTCCTAACTCCTAGCTCCTACCTCCTTCCTCCTATCTCCTACCTCCTAGCTCATTTTTCCTTCCTCCTACCTCCTTCCTCCTACCTCCTAACTCCTAGCTCCTTCCACCTACCTCCTTTCTCCTACCTCCTCCCTCCTCTCTCCTAGCTCCTTCCTCCTAGCTCCTTTTTCCTTCATCCTAGCTCCTTCCTCCTAGCTCCTACCTCCTCTCTCCTAACTCCTTCCTCCTACCTCCTTCTTCCTAGCTCCTAGCTCCTTCCTGCTACCACCTAGCTCTTTCCTCCTTCCTCCTTCCTACTACCTCCTAACTCCTAGCTCCTTCCTCCTACCTCCTTTCTCCTACCTCCTCCCTCCTCTCTCCTAACTCCTTCCTCCTACCTCC